TATAATCGCTAAACCCTTATCTTAGGGATGATTGATTAGTCTACAAAATTAAGTTATCTAGGGTTAAGATACGATGTTATGATTATCTCCGTACGTTAAGTCAATATTTTCATTGATGTGTGTAATGGTTTACATAGAGTAAAGTATGTTAATGGGCCATAGCTGATGATGAAACGCTAAAGTACGCTATTCACTCGTATACTAAGCACTGAGAGTTGGGACTGATAGCTTATAAACTGTACCCAAAATTGTGCTAGCATCATAAGTTACGAACCTAACGCAGTAGCAGTGAAGCTGTTACCATATAGAATTGGAAGCATTGGTGGAAGTTATTAGCTATTTATCATCAAGTTTTCGATGTACACTTATTTTATTTCCAATAGAGGACTCTATTGGCGTGAATTTGATGAGTAATTTTCTTGGGGCAAAATTGGAAGATCTTAAGTTTAGACTACTACATTACACACGGAAATGATATTCAAACTCTTAAATTTTAGTGTTTACACGGAAAATTACTTTCAAATTCGAATATTGTGATCTTATTCAATAGGTCTCTAAGTGCACATTCTATTCCGTGTTTAAGAATTTTGGTTCGTATCTTACTATCTATGACGCTGTATGCAGATACTAAGTTGTAAATTTCAACTGCGGGCGACGTAGGGTAATTTATAGAGTTACACAAGCTAAGTGGGTAGAAGCCTTTTTGTTACTTTTTATAGCGTGTCAACAGGGTTGCTTTTGAGAATATTAAGAAGTTTCTTCGAAGCAGCGCTTGTAAACCTTTTCTTCAAATCTAATTTGATTTAATATAATTATACGATACTTTAAAGTAGCAATAATCCTGCAGTACCGAATTTGAATGTATGGCTTATATGATAAGACATACCGGTAGTTTACATCTAATTGCAATGTGATTTATTCCATTAACTTATGCTTTCCAGCATTACTATTAAGTTAGCTAAATTTTATTGACAATATTCTGGCTAATGACTAATTAAACATCTGATTAATCGTAGCTTTATATTTAGGATATGAATAATGATTATTGCAAGGTCTCAAAATTTCTGTCGGTTGCTAAGACTTGAATAATTCATTGTGTAGGCTCTAGACTTATTCAAATCACAAAGATAATCTTTAATTAAAGAGTGAACAGCAAAAATTATATTAATCGATAACAATAACTCTAAATTATGAATAATAATAGCATAAATAACTTGTTTTGATAAGTAATTTTTCCTATATAACTGCAGTCTTTCATGAAATAAAATGTTATTAAAAGTATACGAAATTGTCGTAGCGGTAACTATTGATCCTGAGTTTAAATTATCAGAAATTCTTTCTTTTTAATACTTTGAGTTTTGACATTCACACAGCATTAACTGCTAATCATTCTATACATAATAAAACTTGAAACAGCATCTTAGAATAGCGTTATCCCTCGTTCTTCAATCCAGTTTCTTTAGATGTTTTCAAAATGGATATGTTGTAGACCGGCTATAGCATATAGGCTATACAGATATATTATGGGATAATCGAAGATGGAATTGATAGCATTAGAGTTATACGAAGGAATATTGCTATTATTGTATTGGTAGATTAATTATCGCAGTCTAGGAAAGCATAATAGTTTAGTATAATTTATCTATAGTAAAAAATCCCTTCTTCTGTCTTCCTTATTTGGCGATTCTTGTTACTAGATTTCAAACAATTCGCTCGAATGCAGTAAGAGCGTATATATAAGATTTACTTCTATAAATGAGCAAGTGGATGAAGGCTTCTATGCAGGTTTTAGGGTTAGTGATAAACTTTTACTTCTTTATTCTTGAAGATTATCTATCTAGTACTCTCTCGAAAGATATACGTATACATAGAGCATGATTGTAGAATTTCTTATTAGGTGTTGATGAAGTAACTGCTTTACAGATTAATTATAATCTTGCGTTAAAGCAACTGTTTTAAGTCTTATAAAATTTTAGCAATAGGATACCATATCATCTATTAGGAAATAGAAGGAAAAATTTACTATCTGTACGCATGAATACAACTTATACAGTATAAATCAGTATATTGATTGTAATTTATCCAAGCTTATCAACGATTACCGTTTTCTGATTTTGTCGTAATAGCTACTATCAATTTGAAAAGTTGGGAAAAGGAACAAGTTTAATATACGATTATATAATAAAAATAGCTTCAGATATAGATTTTTATATGTGAAGTTTTAATTGCACTTACCGCTATAGGATTTAAAATGGATAATACAAGTGAAGTTTGGCAGCAGAATATCAATACAGTCAATATTGTCCGTAGTTTTGGAATAAACTTCTCATCGCTCGATTTTTGAGACTTTGGCTTTTATCGTATTGTTGCACAGCTGCTAAGCTTATTGTAATCTTCACTAGGCTAGCTTTCAAATATCTGAATATTACTGTCTATTAGATAAAGATTTGAATATAGCAGCTATTAGTGATTACAAAATGAATTATTCAGATCCTCATTCCTCGCTCATTTATCAAAATGAATATTAAAATGAATATTATATAGTACATGTTTGCTACTTCGTTATGAAATATACAAGCTTATCTGATAAATGCATTCTTGTCCTATGTACTGTAGATCTTTGAGGCTCAGTTATAATAGTCTTAAAATAATAAGAGTTATTGATGTTTTAACGTGTAATATGCACGCGTTAGACTCACCTTTGAAGGCTAATTTTTTGCAGTAGCCTCTGATTAACGTAGCTTAGAGTCTTGTATACTAGAGTTCGAAGTGATCTTTATCAGATTTTTGATTAAATCAGTTTTTCCAAACGGGTCGCTGTATAAAATGTCGGCATCATTATTATCGTCGATTCGGATTAGGAAACTTTCAATTTATGAAATTCTGGTTGTCATGATTATTATTAGTACGGATACGTATGTGCTTATTGCGATATTGTAGCTAGCAGTTATATAGATCATTATTATATAAGTGTAGTATCAAATAAATATTGGATAGTTTTTAAGGATCAGTCGCCTCGTGGAAAGGTACATTGATTTCAGTTTACAAATCTAAAGAAAAAATAAAGAATCTTCCTAAATTTAACGGCGGTTGAGTTTCAGTAAGTAGTGTTAACAAGCAAGGAACCGTAACTGGAGTACTTCTAGCAGAACGGCCGGATAGCGAGCCCTGCAGATTGTAACAGCTAGCAAAATAACTCTTTCAGACTACAAAAACTAATCCTGAATATTATATAATCAATTGAAAACTGTCAAAATGCAATGAAATCTAGAGAAAATTACTTAAGTATGAACTTAAGTTGTATCATAAATTTACAATAAAAAGTCTTAATTACTGGAACATAATATTTTTTTAAGTTCTTCAATTTGGTGCTGGCCATATGTAGTTTAAACTATATTCATTTGCATAGCTTTATCTTTGAAATTAGATAACAACTGGTTAAATTTACACTTTTTCTTAGAAACTCTCAGTTACAGTATCAGCTGATCCTGGTACTTCTATAATTAAAGTTGTAGCAATGTGATAATAGCGATTAACATTTAATTTGCTATAGTACAATATTTTTTGAAAACGTTGCACTATAGATACATACGCTCGTATATTATATCACATTTTATGTCACTGTATATGTATGAGTAACTTATTACAGAATACTAATGTAAAGTAATAATGAGCAAGTAATTATTAAATTAAAGACCACTTCAAATTATAATTAAAGCTAAGTTTAGGAGAAAGCAGCAGTTTATTATAGCTTTAACAGAAAAATTGCAAGAAGCACTTAAAAAAGTAAGGAAGGGCCGAAATACCGCCTTAACCTATCAAATAATGAAAAATAAAAATGAGGATTACTCATGATTTCCTTCATGTACCTCTAGTCTTGCTAACTTACTAACAGAATTATTCAAAAACTAAACCACAACACCTTTGTAGGTTGCACCAAGCAGATCGTTAGAGTATCAACCGATCTCCTAAAGTATTCTAAATTAGACTAGCTATAAATTACATATGTTACGATAAATCTAGCTTCGATTTCTATCTTTATAAAATTAATAGTAATGATAATTAAAACTAAAAATTACGTCTGTTTACTGTATGCGATAGCACATAATTAAAAAAAACATTAAGACTAACCCTTATCCTTTAATTAGAATTCAAATCAAATGTTTGGGTTTACACTGTACCTTAAGGCGAAGCAATATAATTCCTACTGCTTATTATGAAAGAAATCAGCTACAAATTCATCATTATTAAAGCGCAAATATTATACTTAGTACGAGTATATCGGTTAAATTACAATCTTTATAATGCATAATGTTTGACAAAAACTACTCTATAAAGTATTGCTGCATCATAATCCGTATAAAGTAGTCGAGTTAAAAATATATTAAGATATTAAATGAAATTTACAGTCATCAGATTAAAATTAGCTACTTTTGAATCTACGATACATAAAACAATAAAAAATTTCACGGAAAAGTTTTAAAAGATTGATCTTCATTGCAATAAGATATTACGCTTTTGCTGAGCTTGTACATTTCCTAATTAATTAATATATGCCAGCAGAAATGCATAAAAATTGAAAAATAAATGGACAGTATGATAATAGAAACAGCCGCTACATGATTAGCTTTACTGTCGTTCAAGGTATATCAGTTAGTACAATTACAGATAAGATGTGCAAATAAGCAATATAGTTGGTAAAAATGTAAAAGAATTAGCAATTCATTCGCATTTAGAAACGACAATGCTGCATACAATAACATCAATGGATATTATTTCTATCCTTAAGGTTTAGTAGTCTACATATCCGGAGTACTTAGGAAGTTTAATTTGAGATCATAAAATTTACCGAGTAGATAATTTTGAAAAAAATACTCTAGCTTCTATATCGATATTCGCTTTGTATAATAGTAAATATCAGATTTGATAGCATCTCATTCAATTCCTCTATATTTCATCATGTTAATCGAGCTAATTTAAACTCTCAGACTGTATCGGTTTTAATAGAAAGCTTTAAATGTTTCCTGCTTTAGGCACCATTTATAAGCATCTACTGCACCTCTGTAGGTGTCGTCGTCGTTACAATTTTGTAATATTCCGTCAAGAACTTCGAGAGAAGCCAACGCTTTTTGTCTATTATCTTTATACCAGCATGCTCTAGTTAGTAAGAAATCTGCAAATTTTTGATTGAAATATTTTCCTGTATAAGCGATTGCTTCAATACCGCCTTGAATTGGCCATTGTATACTTTTAATACGTTCTATAATGTTGATAAATGCTAATAATCTTTCAGCTACTTTAGCCTCAATCAACTCGTTATCATGATAAATTTTCAAAATATTAGCTACAATATGATAGTCTTTTACCACAATATCAATGAACGTCTCATCATGTAGTACGGAATTGTCTTTATTCTTTATCGCTGTTTCAACGAGGCGTTCATAAATGAAACATTTCCATCTTTTGGTATTAATCAACAGCAATGCTTTCTTGTCTTCGTCGGATTCTTCTGCTAACTCATTAATGACATTTTCTATAAGATTCCATACATGCACTTTATCCTGATCTATTTTTATTTTTTTGACTTTTTCTTCCTTAATGATAATTTCGTGAGTATCATTTGACTTGATTACCGCGTACGGCATCTTTATCGATATCCACAATGCAAAAGTAAATTTTAGTATAAATTGTTGATAGGGCCTACCATGGATTTCATTAGGTATAGAATATTCAGGCAGCTTCCGAATTTGATCTTCTAATTGAGAAAAAGACTCAAAAATTTCTGAACGTACAGCTTTTATTAGAGGGATTAAACGCCCTGGATCATCATAATCTAACGCATGCTTTGCTAAATACTCTATCACTTTGAAGCATTCAGCTTTTACACTTGGCTTTGTGCAGTCTTTTAGCAGTGATTCGATAGCTTTCAGAGCTGGATTCCAGCGATGTTCCGGGTAGTTATCTATTCTTTCTATAAAATACTTAGCATGACGATAATTAAAACTGTCGCCGAGCAATGCCATTGCTTCAAAGCCTCCATCCATTCCCCAATAGTTCGCAGACTTTACTTTTTCGCGGTCTGCCTCAATTATTTCTTCAGTAATTATTTCAAATATTTTTGCAACATAATCAGGTCCCTTGCATTTCAGTAAATCTTTTGTAGAACTAATCACTATCTCCTTTTTTAGCAATTTTTTTTTATCGCTATCTTGAATTTGTAATCTTTCATTTTTAAATTTTGAATCGTCAAAGATCAATGGGCTGCTACTTTGATCTGTTATACTGAATTCCTCCAATGCTCGAGAGGATTTTCCATGTTTATCAAGTTCTTTGAGTATCTTTGTAGAGAATCTTGTATCTTTTACAATCTTTTTTAAAGTTTTTTTCATCTTATTTGAAAATTCACACAAACAATTTTGAAGCAACTTACTTTCTGCTGCTCCTAAGATATCTGCCTCATCACATAACGCTTTCCAAAATAAAATTGCATGCTTGTCTGCAACATAACCTGGTATAAGTTCAATTTCACCTACACTTAATTGAGATGCTAATGACATTATCAGGGTATAACCAGGATTATACCGGTTGTCCATAATTTGGCTTTGTACCTCGCTTCTGAGTTTATCATCTAAAATAAGCCCGTATAGCAGGCATAGAGCGGCTAAATATTCTTGATAGGTTGAGTGGTGAAATTTGAGCCTCAGGAAATGATCCCCATATGCAGAGTCTTCATCTGGATAATCGCTTACGGTGACAAGCCCGGTATCGCCTAATTCAAGCACCATTTTGTTAGTGAAATAACTTCGAGCAAGAGCTAAATGTACAAATTTTGGAGGTAACTGAAAGGCTTGCTTAAATGCTAAAACGGCTAAAATCAAAATATAGTTAGATGATACGTTGTAAATTCTATGAGCAGATTCTGATTCGTTCTTAAATGATATTTTGAGATAACGTAAAGTAAAGTCTTTCAATTTCGTGAATAAAAATTCTTGATAGAGATTTGATGTATTTATTTTAGATCGTTTTTCATGGACTCCATAACCGTTATCTATGCAATCAGTACCATGAATTGCAATCTTTGAGGCTTTCGTTTCACAATATATATAGCATTCTAGAGGTATACCTATTAGGTGTTGTACCTTTTCGCTGAGCTCCTGATCAATAGATTCACATAAATTATTAGTTATTTCGGTTATTTTATGTTTAGGTATATCTTCAGTCTGCGATGTGTTGTCATCTGATTTCTTGTTTGCTTTTTCTAAAATTTTGGGAAACATCCTTTTAATATATTCATTGCGTAGTTGATCTGTGTACTTGCCGAGCGTTAAGTAGAGGCCTAGGTTTCGATTTCTAGGCTTATTTACTTTATGAACAGCGTGCGGTCTAGTAGCAATTACAACTGTAGTACTAGTTGGAATCAAGGCAAGTAATTTATTAAGGCTGTTAATTTTGTTTTCATCTTTAATTTCATCTAATCCATCAAGAAAAAATTCAACACGACCTTCTTTTTTCATATCATTTAATAGAGCCTTCAATTGCCAGTCTTTATTTATAAAATCCCTGACTAATGGCTTAATGGATGTCTCGAGATCTAGAGAGTTGTCAAATTTCTGGCTGGGTAAATGTATATATAATTTCCATGATATAATCGACTCCGAATTTTCATCTTCAGCCCATTCATTTAGTCTATTAATGAATAAGGCAGTTTTTCCATAACCAGCATTTGCAGACAAAATTACGAAATTATTGATTTTAGGGAATATCGCTGGAAGGGAGTACCGACGCTCTTCCCCCCCCCCGGATTGATATATTCACTTGGAGTTGGTAATATTACATTTTCTGAATTAGTTACAACTGAGATATTTTCAAGTTGGTCTGTATTAGGATCTTTCGGTTTAACGACGACATGTTTCAGCTTCCTATGTTCTTCGGATAAGGAGTTATATTCACCAACATAAATCATAATTTTATTCTCTTCAGGGGTAAATGGTATTCGATCAATGTCGGATTCTTTCGTCAGCAAAATGTAGATGATATCGGGATCAAGGGGTGTAACTATTTTAGCAGTAAACTGTGTTCTGTTCTCGGCCTTATTAAACCAGCCATCAAGCAAACTTTCCAAGGTATCAGATTTTTCTAGGCCTTCAAATATAAGGAGTGGAAAATTTTTCTCTTCTAATATATTTCGTAATTTATAGATTGGCATCATCTGTATAATTGGATTTTCTAAGTAGACCTTGCACGGTAGCTTAATAGCTAGTGGATGTTCAGTTTTACCTTCTTTTATATCATTTAGCACTATAGCAGTATTATCTACGTCTCCAACAAATTCATATAAACTGCTAGTTGTATCTTCAAGAATTTTGAATAGAGGATAACTTTTACCGGCCAAATTGATATACTTTTTATTATGATATTTATATAGCTTTTTTAACTTATCAGAAGATAATTTACCTAACTCTTTACAACGTATCTTAAAATGGTTTGAATCACGATCAGGTTTAATATTTCTATCCATCTCCGATATTTTTTTGTAGCATATCTCTTTATCGTCTGATTCTATTATTAAAATAACTTTTTTCTTATTTTCAATAGCTGCTTTGAGTACCGTTTGTGGCATTTCAAATGATGATTTATTTGGTAAACGACAATCAATAATTAAGAATTTTAAAGTATCACCTTCAAGGATTTTCAGTAACCTTTCTTGCATCTTCCATATCGATGCTATCTCTAAGAATGACCATTCGTCAATTGTATATTTATTGCTAAATTGGATAACGTTTGATATATTCTTAGTTGGATGCCAACGCCATAAAGCAACATGACTAAATTTTTATGATCGGTATCAATTAAAAATTTTTCTAAAGCTTCGATTTTGATCTCTTGAATGCTTACTTTATGATCTTGGATCAGTTCATGATATTCAGTCTTAAATGTTTCTGTGTGTTTTAGTAAATAAAAGCGACTTTCTTCATTTTTGGAGGCTTTCACAATTTTATCAAATTCATCCGATTGCAGCCAGCAGACTTTATTATCCGCTAGCCAGTCAATCATGCATGCTCGTAAGGTACTATAAACTTCTGTAGCGGCTAGCTCGGTCTTAGATCTAACCTCGTTGTAGGTCAAACGTTCTAATTGTGAGGTATCAGGTTGATCAAGTTTTACTATGAATTCTTCGAAAAACTGATAGATTTGCCTTAGCATAATATTGTTAATTTTGTCTTCTATTTCTCTACTACGTTCATCAAATAAAATTCTTTGACCTTTTTTCATTTTTTCTCTAAACTTACTTCGCATCGGATCTTTTGATGTAATTATGGCCATGTCCGATATCAAAATATAATGATGGCTGTTTTGTTCGTAAAAGTGATTCCTCGCCTTTTGTAGGTCATTTATAACATTCCTTAATATGCAACATGCATGATTCAAAGACTTTGTAAGGTTTTCTTTCGCTTTAGTTTTATCGGCAGCATCTAACAATTCTTCTAGCTTATTAGCTTGCTTCTTTACGTGAGTGAATATACATTTAACAAAATCGCTATCTTTAGGTAATTTTTTAAATCTGAAGCTACGTCCTTCAAGACCTTCAAATAAATAGCCTGGAGATATGGTTGCTTTTTCGTACAAGTAACTGGGAATTTCAACTTTACAATTCGAAAAAAATACAAATTGATGAGTTTTATTTTTGCAATTCTTCATATAATCATCAGAATTTTTTATCCTCAGCCAGTAATCAAAATACAACCACAATAAAGGACACTTCTTGGCTTCTGATTGATTTATTGAATAAAAATCTTTTTCTTTGTATGTATGATCCAATCGATGCTTGACTTGAATGTAAATTACACTTGTGCTAGTGTAAACAACTAAGTCATCAAATTTATCATATCCTTCTGCTTCGCTTGCTAAAGCAAATTGATCTCTCTTTGCATTAGCACGAACAGCTATCAATGCGATCAAGGCTATCTGATATATGGTACCGTGAAAAGTCCTTTTTAAACCTTTAGATGGTTTAGAACTTGATATGATATTTAAACGCTCATCAATTTCATTAGAATCACTAGGTGCTTCTTTAAACGACTGGCGAATCGGTTTAGTTATAGTGGCAGCGCTTTTACTTAGCGTCATTACGTAGGTTAGTAAATCTTTCAGATCTTGCAACATCTTCGGAGAGGTAATTGAATTTTGTGCGTTCAGAGTCTCAAATATTTCTTTAGCCTTTTCTGGATTAGGAATTTTAGCTGATCTATCTGATTGGGTTTTTTCTTTCTTCTCGTATTCACTGGTTGACGAGTTACTTTTCTCAATGGAAGGCTGCATATCATTTTTTGTTTCAAGCTTACCATATTTCTTTATCATTTCTGTATAAATTTTTATGTCATTCTCCTTTTTTTTTTTAATAGATGAACTTCCTGTTTTAGAAAACTCACGAATGGAATATTTCTCGTCGGATTGTAAATCTGAATTTGGAATTTCGATTTTCATGTAATCACGAATATTCGTAAAAGTAATAGGTCCACAATTCGAGCCATTGTTACCTTGTTGATTAAATGATTTAGAACTCTCCGTAAGCTTAATATTTTTACCGCAAAGTAAATTCAATGCCTCAGTAATTTTATTCCGTGTTTGACGATTCTTTTTCAGGTTTTTGATTAAATCAGTATTTCCAAATGGGTCGCTGTATAAAATGTCGGCACCATTATTATCGTCGATTCGGATTCGGAAACTGATCCAATGATTCTTAATGATTATTGGTATGATTATTAATTGCGGAATATTTGACCATCGGTTATTTCTAGCCGTTATGTCATTTCCATCTTCATCGCGGTCATGTTTTCCAGCGATAGTCTTTATATCGTCGATAAAGGAAATATTATTAAATTGCTCTATCGAAAATGGATCGGTTAGAAGTATCTTATTTGCGTTTTCTCTTGTAGGGGAGTATTCTTGCAGATCTTTTAGTGGAAAATTCTCGCCGTCGTTCATTCTATAATTTAAGCGTTTTTCACGTATCTTCATTAGCAGATATATCCCATCATTCAAACTATACCAGTAGCCTGGTTCATCGCCGTGCTCAGCCAGATTTTTGTCGCTTCCAGAAGCATTTAGCTCGGTCAGGTCAGTGTTATGAGCGCTAAAAGGTGCGTTGTCGCTCATCTTTTTAAAAATAAACGAAATAGAATAACGAAATCTTAGGATGTTCTAGCATAAGTTGTGCGTACACATAAATTAAAAAGTGATCAGAACTAGCCGTGTATTATCTGATTTTACGACACTTACCATTTAATAATTAAAAATCGTTATTAAGTAGGATAGCAAAGTTCGGGCTACAAGTTGTTCCAGAATGGCTGGCAATACAGGAAATTATTCGATTCTTTATCTTAGCCGTTAATATTGTTTTCAAGCAAGGTACTAATTCTGTGTCTTGATATGAAATTTATTGGCAAGACGCCGGCAGAATTACTTCATAGCAATTTTACTTAGTGCGATAACTCTTAGTTTATATTGATTTCAGCAACTATAAGAAAACCAGTGGCTAATGTAGATATATTCAGTACAAGAGCCGCAGGTAAATAATTGAAAGCATAAAACCAATTTGAGGCTAGCGCAGAGGTTATGAATTCTAACTTAATACCGAAAATGCGATAATTTATAGCGTATGAGCGTTGTTCTGTGATGGTACACAAGATTGGCTGAAAGCTATTACGAAAAAAATTGGGTTTATGCTTATGGGTTGAGCAAAAGTATTATAGAATTTATTAGATTAATAGTTTATTTAGAATTACTATACGAGATTATAAATCATTATATTTTCTTATACACCATAGTTTATGTTAATTTATGGTAATACTTGCTGATAAAATCATAAACTGGAATGTGCTTAAAGCAATTTAACAATCGAAAATGATCATGCCACTGGTAGCTTACTATATAAATAATTGTATGGATGGTGTTGTATCGAATACTTTCGGTAGCGCAATCACAAATAATTTACTGCAGTAACAATTAATATGTCATGATATTAAGTAATCTGGTTACAAGCTATTTCTACGGAAACCTACAATAATTAGTGTTGATAGAGGCGTGCCTCTTAATGTTTTCGATTCCGCTGGTATTTTCTTAAGATCATCAACGGCAATTATGTATGTACCTAAATATAAAAATATTTTTCTACCAGTTTGGCCTTTGTAATATTGAACAATTCGATGATGGGTAGTAAAATGTAAGGAATTTATTTGGAATTGAGTTAACCATTATTGTGTTTTAAATTCCGCAAGTGCGCTTTTGTATCCTATTGAGTTAATTCGGCTATCGTAAATATCCAGCTTTATTGACTTTTACGTTTGATACTATTGTTATAAATTGTTCTTGTAACTCTGTTGGATATGTATTGCATATTCGTGTTGACAAAAAGAGACGGAAGTAAATATATATTATGAATCCTTTGATCACAAACTATAATTCTAGGACTATTTAAGAAATAGATGCAGAAAATCATTCTTATTTGAAAGAAAGTATTAAATCTGGACATTGAAGATTCATTTCATAAACTAATATACTAATCTTGCTCAAATTGAAAGCATATATTATGACTGTACGACGCAATAAAGTATACGACATTATTAAATTATGGTCGTATAAAGATATGTTGGGACTTTATTACTTAATATAGCAATTAGTATTAGGGATATTCGGTAGGATTGAATATACAACACATAGTCTGATAATCTAGCAAAAATTGGAATGATTGTGGCGATATATAATGATTCGAGTTTGTAAACTATCTGCTAATAAGTGGATTATTAGTGTGGAATATCTGCATGTAATTACAGAACTATACTGAACAAATATTCTACAATGGATTGTGAAAAATAGATAGCTTGGGTGTTTTACCTCCCCAAATAATTGATATTCAAAATAAGCTAGATTTAATTGACTTGCTAAACTGGTAATAGATTGACGAACTAGTCAGCTTTCCTAATTGGTCTTTAAAATTTATGTCTGCAGTTATGAGCACCGCTCATCTCACAGAATATCTACCACGCTAGTCTAGCCAAGTAACATGATATTGCCCGTAAATAACTTAAATACAAGTAAGCATCAGAATGTAGCTAATTTATTGACGAAATGAACAAATCTGTTGCTTAAGTTAACTGTGATAATCGTTATCCTTGGACCGCTCGTACTTTAAAACGATAACTAACATTTATCTTGCTTCGTGTGTCAGTCCTAATAAGTATATTATATATTTATGTATATCTATCAAAATTTTCCTTTTAAGAATTTACTTTTGGTACACTGCCATAGCCAATTAAAAAAATTAAAATTAACCACGTCTCGAATTTTTTATTAATAAAAAGTTAGAAGACGACTATATGCCACTATTTTACTGATAACATTTTCTAATTGATTTATCAGTAAACTTCAAGGCTACCCTAGTTATTGCTCATCTTCATATTTTCTATACTTTCTAAACACTTTTTATAAGATTTACCTGTTTTTTATTTAAATAACACAATAATTTTAGCTTCAATTCGACAGTTATAAATGTTGGTAATATCAGATAAATATAAAACTTTTACCTCATTATCCTTTAAAGAACATTTGCCAAGGCTCTAGCTGGAGGAAATTGTGTGATATATTATTGTAGGACTTCAAATTGCAGAATTATTACAGAAGTACAGTAATTGTTTATAAATATCAATACAAGTCTCATAATATCTAACGTAGAAATAAATGTATAAAGTTGTATGAGAATTTTTAAAGTTGTATGATGTTGTCAACATTGAAAGACTATGAAAAATTACAGCGAATACTTATGAATCATCTCTTAGATCGTAAGCCTTCCAATCTTATTAACGACTGCCGCTTACTGATTTTATTCTAGCGTCTTCTAATAGTTTAAAAAGTTGAGAAAAGAAGAACGATGACTTGTACCTATGTAAGAAAAATTAGTATTCTCGATTCTAACATATAACGTTTTCTGCCAAACTAGCTTCTAAGACTAAAATAGGCATTATACACCTTTGGCTTCAAAATGTGAATTATCTATGAGGTATCTGTATATTTTTTATTAAAATGATGCTACTTTGCTAGCAATATCCTTTATGCAATCAGCATTGTCTGTATTACCCATAGAATTTATTTTTTCTCAATCTTTTAGCTTTTTGTTAATTCTACCCTTGCTCTTCTACCAATCTTGTTGAAATTCACTATTTCAGTAAATTGTGGAGGGAAACCAATCAGAATAGAAGCTACTACATCAGTTTTCGAATATCTAGTAAAAGAGTTCAAGAATAAATAAGCCTATGACTAAGGATATATTTGGTGAACACACCCGTAGAGTAGAATACATGATTTACATACTTTCCAAAATATTACATCTAAAGGGATATAAAGTTCTAGAAATATTTCATCAGCCAAGTCACTAAATCAAATTAATGCCTTCATTTAAGCAGCTCGTAAAGTTATTCCTCTGTCAGTTAATAGCAATTATAAGTACCTGATAGTTCCATCAAGACAGAAAAAATCGTATTAAGATGATTCTCTGTCAGTTTGATACTTCAGATAAGTTCCTTATTTCGACATCTACATTCGTAACATCGATTTCAGTTCTATAGCCTAAGACATTAGCTGCTATTCTTACTAGTTTCTAAAATCATTGATCAATACTAGAACAGTTAAATTGAATTGAGTCCTACATCTTACCTTCAAGCACGAAGTTTAAAATTTCCTAGTCTGGACGAACGGAGCAAAAAAATTAAGAAATAATCAGTCGTCGTCATAATAGATATTGTGGTTTCATATCATTCAAGCAGGAGATACGACGGTGAAACTCGGTAATTTTCTCTGCGAAAGAATTTGCTATTAGGTAATTGGAAAATATAAAAATGTTAAATAAGCCTAAACATAGTCTTTGGCAATAGTCCTTGAATTGAAATAAACAGTAATTGGCTACGCAATATTGCCTTATCAACTTTTATCAAGTTACTGTAGTGAACATTTGGTTTGCTGTATCTTGTCATAATGTCCATAATTCCAAATGAATGTACTATAACTAAAATTGAGCTATAAGAAGTATATTAAAATTAGGGAAATGCTGTCGATTTATGATGATTTCATGTTTACATGGGATTAATTACCGATGATCAAGGGTTATTAGTTATGTTTTGGTTACCGCACTCTACAAATAGATATTCTTCTGGCTAATAACGATATAAGAAGAATGGCAAATATTGAAAGACAACCTTGCTACTTTATTAAAAGCGGTCCCCATAAGACTTCCATTCAATGCTGCAAATTCATCTTTCATTGCATGAATGAGCAAATAAAATTATGAATAAAATACTTTTGATAAATATAACACCGATTGCATGAAGAATTCGACTTTTTTCCTAGTGACTTTTTGGTTATGGGGAGATCATAAAATGGTGGAACTCGTACTTGCTCAGCTTATATCAATTCAAGCAAGATTGAGTAGCTGATTTCGCCCTGAAACTTGTAGATAAATAGAAAAGAAAGGCAGCACTATTATTCTCATGATCAATTCTTCGTGGATTATGCATCTTTTAAATTAAAAGGGTGTGCTATGATAATAAGCTACTTTGAATCAGTATGTAAGCGTATATATGTTACGGCCAAAACCCGAAGTCCGGCCAATACGCGTATTGCCCTAATAAGCAAGTTAATAGTAAATTATAGTAAATAGACTTTATCTTGCCAACAATTACCCTCTTGGTTTACATTTCGGAAGTTTAGGAATAATTCAGACGTAGCTACATAACATAATCGTAGTTGGCTATTAATCGCTTCGAATGTCAACTGTATTACTTAATTTATTATTTCATTGATAATTTTTTATATAGTTCATATCATTCATGTGTTATCTGAAAATAAACGAGTTCTAATTGCGATTGCAAGAAGATAGTTACCAATCTCCAAGCTCCAGGTAGCTGGGCTATAAAAAAGACTATGGAATAACAACAGTATTTTTCAGCAAGTAACATATTGAAATCAGTTTTAGTATTTCAAAAGACTTCGTTACAGTGCCGCCATATCAGTACTAGTGAAAAATATCTGATGCATTTAGATCTACTTGTATAGTTAAATTTCGCTGTCACATTGCCTTATTCATTTTAGAATGAAAATCTCGACGAAATCCAAGGATTATTTTTATACTGGGCTTATTCAGGTAATGAAAAAAGAATAATTAAGGCTTGAAAATACGTATCTTAATAATGCTATACGCAGGCACGTATGATCCTCACAAAACACCTATCACTGGAACTAGCGTATCCATTTGAATTTAAAATACTTACATGCTGTAAATCTATCTTATCAATTAATAAAGCTGTTTTAATTATCATAGTCCATCTATACTCAATAAATATTGTATTTATTTCATATTCACAGTCAGAATGCGCTATTTTGGATTCAGTAATCCTATAGAGTTAATGCTATGTCTTGCTATTTATCCATTTCATAATCTGCATACATTAACAACGTATTGCAGAATATCTGATTAGGGGCTAGGTACTAATAATGCATATGCATTAATTTCACATCATGCGACATTTGAAAGTGAATAATTTTTGGGGCTAAATTTAAAGGAAAAAGTATCAAGTGTTTGCCTTGCTTCATATGGTGAACATAAGTACATTGCGTTACCTATCATGTGATGTAGTAGAAATAATAAATACTCTTTCGAACACTTCCGGGAAGGATGTAATTATTATGTATTGAACAAACATAAACTGCGCAAGACTTTCGAATTGCTTTCTGTAAATATACCTCGTGCTATAAACTTGACTGCTGGCTACATGGATAGATTCTATTCGTATAGATAGCCAAAATAGAGTAGCTAAAAGCTTAGAAAAGTAGGGCAAATGTACGTAACGAAATACTTTAATACAACGTTGGATTATTTCTAGAATTAAAATTAGTGGTAATGTAGAAAATAAAATTTTAACTTTACACATATCAGCAGAAGTTGTTAATTACATTATTAAACACAAAACATATTAAATAGCCCGCATGATATACTTTATCAGTTTAATTAATATTCTCTTCAAAGGATTATAGTCGATAATTTCTGTTGATATATTAACTCCTGTATTTCAAATAAGCTCTATTTTGTAATTAAAAATTTCGGTAAAGGTAATCCTAAGGCATGTTTTTAACCACGTTGCATACGAATGACGTATTTCCAGTTAGATTTTAGTCAAATATTATATGATTTAGTAGAAATAATAAATACTCTTTCGAGCACTCCCAGCAAGGATCCGTCCGATATATTATATTTATAAAAAACCCAATAAACTTCGCAAGACGTTTGAATTGTTTTTTTGTAAATATTACTAGTGCTAGAAATTTGACTATCAACTATATAGATACGTTTAATCGTATAGACAGTCAGTATATAGTAGTTTAATCCTTGAAGCTGACGTTAATGCCTATTTTTACAACGTTAGATTGTTTCTGGAATGCAATTAGTTGTAATGCACCAGCTTAACTTTTAATTGCTCATTTTCCCGACTACTTTCTGACTGGAAAGTGTTACTGCGTTTTGTCCTGCAGTGTGAAAGGAGACAGAAGTAAAATTTGTTGAAAATATCAGATATTGGTATAAGCTTGGTAATCTACGTCATATTTTCTCATTTTTCTAACTGAAACTCTGCTTACGCCTCGTAGAAGTAGTAAATGTTCTCTAACCAGCTAAATGTTCTTCACCTATACCAAGTATTAGAATTATAAAATGCAAAGAAATCGCTTTATCAGGACAATATCTAGTGCCTGTAGTTTTAATCGATGATGGTGTTGACATGATGGTAGGATCACTATGGGTCTAAGCCAGCGTGTTATCGACGTTATTACTAAATATTCAACAATAATTTGTGAAGAACTTCCTCTTTTGGACATTTTAGAGGACTTAAAATGTCAATGTGGCCTATCTGATCTTGAAATTTACCTTATAACAGCTGGTCCTACTCGAGAAGAACGAAATGATACCTTCATACAAGTGCTACAGTCTCATAATGATACCGATTTTTATCACTTTTGTCTGCTACTTCAAGATCATCCATACCAATGGATAAATGAATTGGGAATAAATTTAGCATGTGAAGGTTGTAGCGATGATCAAATAAGTAAGTAATCTATAGTAGAGGTTAATTATCATGATATATAAATACGCTTATACGGTGCTTTGTAATGAACGCAAACCACTGTCAAGAAAGGATTCTTCGACATATTATGCAGTAGCTAATATAATTTTTGATCTATTACGCTATTACACTATTACTTCTATTCCAATGGTCTTTAATCAAAATTGATAGGGGTAATGTAATTAGTGCATAGGCGGAATTTAGTGTTGGAGATGTATCGATGAAAGATTTGGCTATAGCATTATTTACTTTTGATATTTATAATCGTGATAAACAGACTTTAAAGTTCATTGATTATGTTTTATGCATTGAACAACGTTTCAATTGTGATCAAAGTTATTGCCTTATTGGTATCAATTAGTTAAGCTTGATTATTCTATTGATAGGCATAAATGATTCTAGGAAAGTACTACCAGTAGCGGTAGTACACGCTAGTGATGGTATTACCCCCAAATCCTCATGTCTAATTAATTCGTTCTTTTTGAATTTAAACTCAATTCAGGCACGGAATCTCAAGAAGTAAGAGCCAGTAGTGAAATTGATGACAGTGCTTTGGGCGCTGTTGCTTCCGGCAGAAGTTCAACCACTTCTTGTTAGTGTGTGATGGAGCTAGTATAGCTAAAACTGGCGAATATCTTCCATTGCTTAGCTACTGTATTGTAGAAATTATAAGAAATCATGATACTTGATATAAATTACCATCTTTGTATATTAATATTTGGTAGTCTTTTTATTATTATGCTATAGATATTTTTTAAAGTGCAACCGCTCCGTACTTTATGTCACTCAAAGTAATAGCCAAATTCAGTGAGATCTGCACCTATGACCTGCATTATGTATAGTCGAGCTATATACAGTTTGTACTGATTCTATAATAAAGCACGAAATTAAGCATTGCCTGTTCATTTTATTATTTAAAAGGTTTAAGGGATGCAAGTCTTGAAAGTTCGAAATCAAGTAGGATTAAGTTTTCAGACTTTTTCGAAGAACTTCAAGGCATCGACTCTTATGATGACGCAGATTTGTATGGTAAGTTGATCTTCAATTGCAATCTTTTTTGATTTCATTGCTGATACTGTACCAGGTATGTACTACAGTTTATTGGATAAACTAGGTTTTATATAATTATGATATGAAAATTAGACGTTGTTAGTTTATCATTCAGCAGTATTCCTTCCGCAGTGTAAGCTTATGCCTTAAACTTAGTGTAAAGATGATATGTAATGCATATGCGGTGCTGGTTATTTCACTGAACAGGGTTTTATATAATTATGACATACATTAGACTTTATTAATCTATCGTTCAGCAGTGTTTCTATTCCAATGTGAATCTTATTTTCTTAAACTTAGTTTAAGAATATTACGATAATGTATAGGTAGAACTGATAATTCCGTCAACTGAGAGTAACACTAATACAATTATTTGACATATAACACTGGCTTTTGATCTCTAGGATATATGACCGATAAATGATGCTTATGCATCTAAGGTTTATAGATAGGCCTAAGATAGCTAAATAAATGTTGAAATAGGCTATTCTAAAACTCTTTTATTGAGTATTTAATATTGAGATTTTAGCATGACCGATACTAAAGCTTAAGTAACATACCGTGAGCAAGCAGTATAAAGCTACAAATTAAGTCTGTGTTATCCACAATATTTATGCTTTCTGTTTTACTGCTATTAAACTTAGTTGTGCGAAATTAGTTGCGTTTGATAGCAATTGTAGCAACTTTACCGACGACTTGTAGGCTATGATAGCTGTATAAGTAATATTTCCTTACTGTCAGTTTGAAGAATGATAGCAATTAATAGTTTCATCGATATTGATCAATATGAAATAACGGTACTAATTTTAGTTTATATTTATAGGCCCTAGCCAAAGCCAAGAACAGGTTGATCCCTCCTTGGTCATCGTAGATACTAGCAATGGTAACGCAAATTTTCAATATTTTAGATTTACTAGTATTTGAGAAATAGAACCAAAAAGCAACAAACGATATGAAACGTCGATTTAATATGTCGTGCTACAAATGCTAATTTATAATATATGATTATAATTATAATATATTATCGACTTGATTCTGAATTTGTTTAGGTTTAAACAGTATTAGAAACTTAATTCTACTGTCTGAAAATCATAAAATGATTTTAGAAGACAACTATGAAAAAATTGTCGATCATTGTGCATCTATTTCTTTGCAAATATGCATAGAATTACGTACAGTAAATACCTTTAAGGAATTTGAAATGGAAACGATAGAAAATATGCCAAATGATTCTCTGTAAGATAGTTAAACTCTAGCTTTGTGGCTTTATTGTATATTGGAACACTTTGTTTAGATGTATGCACCTGTAGTGTAATACTTTCTTCTTCTTATAATGTATTCAATTCGTATTACAGGAGAATGAGTACATTATTAGATATACTAATTGCTGGCACCGAGGATAGCTTTGATAAATTCTGTAAATGTCTGCAATGTATGAAACCGGAAGTTGCAGAGCTTCTAAGAGCTAATAATATCGAGGATGATGTACTGCAAGTCCAAAGAAGGCCGAAAGATAGTGCTGAGACAATGAAAAAGTCTCAGTTCCATAGCATTGGTAATCAAGAAAGTTCAGAAAGACAAAGTGAGAACAAAAGTTATGGTGAGCGAACAAGTTATAGCCGTAATAGGAATGACGAAATAGATCCTTGTATCATTTTATAGATTCCTATATATCGTCGCCTCTAAAATCTAAATCCTTCTGACTAATGTAGGGTGTATTATTCACCTTGGGAACTTGATTCAACGCTGTACATATAAAAGTAATAGTAGAGTTTTATGCTAATTATTTGATACCAAGATTTTTTAATATACAATTTGCTATATGGCTGCTAATGATTAGGGAATTATTTCAAGTAATGACGTAGATGCATTCACATGTCCTATACTATTAGTAGTAAATGTTAGCTATACTAGATCTACAAGTTTGAAATCCTAGTGGATTTTGTAGCGGCTAATAAATCTTTACCAATTGTATATAAGTCAGTGTTAAAATTTATAAAATAAATTAATAAAATAGTGCGAAGCAGAATCGATCTGCTTGGACTTTTAATAAGCTGGATTAATAACTTTTGCTAACTTATAATTTTTAACATTGCTATGTTCTGGTATTTATTGGTTAATAAATATATGCAATATATTCAGGTAAGATATTATTTATTGCACTCTGTCTAGTGGTGTTCGAGCTACAGATTAACTTCTTCTACTCAATTAGAGGAATTAAATACTGTAAAACCTGTAAAAGCTATAAAAGTAGCTTCCATTTCGGACTGTAAGCAGTCAGAAAGTTAGCTCAGGCCGAGTGGAATTCTCATGTACAGCTCAACGGAAAATCATTAAATATTGTATGTAATGCAGCATTTAACTTTCACCCACTCTCGATAATAAATTATCGATTTACCATAATACTGATGCATGTGACCTAATAATTCTAATAGCTATTAAAATCCGGCATACTTAATTGCATACGAGTATGCTCGTTCAATTTTTAAATTGAATTTTAAAAGCCGTTATCAGCTAAAAATTTAAATTGCGTAAAAACTTCATACGTAAAGGATATTGTAGCGCAGCCCCCAAATTAGTTCTATGTTACAACTATAAAATTGTGTAAAAATAGGTCAATTGGGTATTAGATTGTAAGATAGAAATGGATTACACTAAGTATGAGAGAACTACCAGATTTGTATTGTGACGCTTTAATTAGAAGTAATAGTACGAATTATGAATTGATCCTACGATAAAAAACTTAAAACTGATCTTGCCACTTAATTGGTAGGGCAGGATTATGTTGCTAAATATATCACTCTGTAATTAGATGACTATTACCGTGATAATTTAGATAGTCTGATTGCAGGTAGGTAGTCTATGGTCGTTGTAAGATAAATCTAAATTTATGTCAGAAAGTGAAGAAGACAAGAAACTGTTGTTATTTTATTACTTTGAAGATAATTTATCGCATTTGGTTAAGCAAAAATTAATAATGGCCATTAAAGCCTGGCGTATGTCATTACATACGGTTGGGCTCGTCTACTTTCCCATTAAATTTTTAATAGCAACGAGTCCACGACCACCAATAATATTAAATTGTACAAAACTTTATTAAAAATAATGTAATGTGGTCCCAACTTAGATTAAGATTATAATTATAAGATTGTACAAAAATAGATCTATTGAATGTTAGATTTAAGATAGAAATAGGTTAGGCCAAGTATGATAGCATTGTCAGATTTATATCGCGACGTTTTAATTATATCTAGATAGAGGTACAAATTGTGAATAGATCTTTAGATAGAGAATTTAAAACTGATCTTGCAACTTAATTGGCAGAATAGGATTACGATGCTAAAAATCACGCAGTAACCGAAAGTATATAGACAATGAATTTTGCTGTAATAATTTAGATAGCCTGGTTACAGCTAGATAGTTCTTAGTAGATTATTATATACGAAGAACCGAACTAAATTGATGTGTAAGTTTGTAACCAATTGCAGTTGTTCTATTATCATGAAGAGAATTTTACACATTTCGTTAAACGAAAAAATAATAATGGCCTTTAAAACCCAGCATACGTCATAAAATACGGGTACACTTGTCAATTTTTCAATTAAATTTTAATAAACACGACCACCTATAATACTAAATCGCATAAAAGTCCATAAGCCAATACATCACAGTAGCTTGTTCTCCACTGATTCTTTCCTACATTCTATAAGAACTCATTCTCCTGTCCTTCCGACGGCGTAGTTGTACATTGTTCGGAGTATGATCAAACAGTTTAGTGTACATAGTATGTTCTAACTCTTCCTAATTGGATATGCAAGTAGATGAATAGCATTTCAACAACGACGTTATTTAAGTGATAATAATTAGATGTAGTAGAAAAATAATAAGCTATAGTTACTTTGATAAGCCTACTGTTTTTGCGAACGAGATGGGCAATAAAACAATTTTCTGTCCTTCTATAATACATTTTAATTAATGATTATTTAATATAGTATAATGCAGTTATGCCTTAGAGTAAAGTAAATTAACTAGGCACATTTGCGGATGGTACCAAATTAAGAGGCGTACACTTTTACATTACGATATAGGAGTCGAAATTTAGATAATATTTAATACTGGGTTGTCATGTAAATGGATACTATTAGATGAAATAGAGACTGAAAAGAACTTTTTGACTTCCCTTAACCCGTTACGCAGTAGTAGAACTTTCTGTTCTTCTATCCAGTATTACATATGATATAGGTTTAAATCGTATTCATTACACGTAAGGCCCAAGGCGAAGCAACTTCTGTTTCAAAATTCTTTATTCGTGGAAATAATAGATGCTGATCAAAGATTAACTATAACAGGATTATTATTAGGGAATTAAAATATGCATTTTTCTGAACATTTAGCATACAAATACTGCTTAAAATAGCATTTTTGAAAAACCTTTATGGTTGATATGATTATTCAGTCGAAGTAACTAATTAGCGATGAATGAAGCAATAGCTAAATATTAGTGAGAAATTATGTAATAATATACCATTCATTACTTGACCCCCCCCCCATTTTGCTGTAATTAAAATAAATATATCTTAAAAATATTCTCTATGAGTACAATAAATATTGAATTTATCGTAAATTAGTGTCTATTAAGAGGGACGTCCATCCGCATCTAAAATACAGATATTACTCTATGCATATAGTATCTAGTATGATCAGAAACAGCTGGGGAAAAGTCTGATTATTACAAATCAGTTATCAAGTATTTTATCTTGAATACTTGATTTATATGCGAAATTTATTCAGTTTTGACATCTAACGGGGAATTTGGAAATTAATTAAATAACCTTTAAATTCTAGTAATTTTAATAAATAAAGAAAACATTATCGACGCAGCCCAAGTGTGGCTTCACGTAGTATCGTCACAGTTACTCAGTCCAAAATAAAAGATATAAAAGCAAATCGGGAATCATCGTTGGATGATGAATTTAACGAGCAATAGAGAAATTTACTGAAACAAATAGAATTAGCCTTTGCAAAGTATTTTGCTAAATCTATCCTATTAATGGCATACGCGTATGATATTAAAGGTAGAAGCAACAGACAAATTTTTTACTCTATTTCTAATAATTCGTTTTATTCTATAACAGTTCACACGCTGATGTTAAAAGAAATCATAGAATCATATACTCAAAGCAGAGGACATATAGGTTATTGGCATTCTTTGGCATCAATCAAGAACTAGTCGATATCAGTCGATATGATGAAGATAGAGATTAATACAGAAAATTAATCTACTGTAATGGTGATTCGATTTTATTTGTTTTACCGACGTATTTGACAGGTTTATTTACCATTTCTCAATTTGAGTTTACTTTTATATTATCGCTTTAAACAGTCGTGGCCTTAAAATTTTATTTAATGTACAACTGATCGCTTTTTAAATTCAATTGCGGTCATTAACGTAAATAGCATATAAGTTAACGTCTTTCATTTGGAATACTCTTGCAAATTTAGTATATGGTATTGGATTGCTAGAATATCATTTAAATTACTACCTATAACAGTTGTGGATGAATGTGCCTTAAATTTTTCGAGTTAGATTAGATATCAATGCCATATTATTTTATACCTATTTAAAATTGTATCCTAGATGATAGGCACCAGAATTTTTCAGTCTGTTTCTGAGTAGACTTATTGATAAATATATGATAAATACATACGAATGAACAGATCTAGACTTTAAAGCTATCTTAAGTATACTTAAAAATATATCCAAACTAAACGAAAGCTAATTAATTTACGGATTATTTCTCAATCTTTTTCTGTTTTTAACTCTATTCGAATCTTAGTTTATAGTAACTAACCATAGAAAACTTAGTATAGAAGACAGACTTACAAATATCGATAATTTTATTGTAAGTTACTGTATAGTTATAAAATACGAAGATTCTACAAGTAGAAGAAATCTAAATCGGAGAATAGCAGCGTAAAGTAGATATAATAGAATAAAAACTCGAAGTGAAGCCACTTTTTATTCATGAAATTGCTCTCATGAAGACTCTTTATCTCAGACTTGTAATAAATAAAGACGGATAAAAATTGCCTATTTCCAAGTCTTCCACTGTTGATTATTGCAAAAATAAATTTCTTTCAAAACATAAATGATATCGAATGAGCTGCCTTTAAATTTTACTCTATTAACTCATTCCAAACTTCTAATCGTAATATATAATATTGACTGTGATATTTCGCAAGATTATGTATTCGTCATAACAGCAATCTATTACAAGGGATAAATTAAAGAAATGATAGTCTTTTTCAGCTTTTGCTAGAGAGAAACCGTGTAAAGTTACAGCATGAATGAAAGACATAACCTGGTAAAGTAGGAGAGGCTAAGCAAGCAGAACCAATTAACGATGTAGATTCTTAAAAATTACTTTTATAACGTAAAATATACAGTAAGAGTGAAAAATTTTAAAAGTAAAAGAGAGATAAGAATAATTTACTTCTATGTCGGGGTATTTCGTACGATCGAACTAGAGCCTAATTAGAATTGAATAGAATAAACCTTTTAAGTATAGATCGTACTTGTATGGAATTATGCTACGTTATAGAAAAAATTGACTGGAACTAATAAAGAAATATCCGGTTAATACTATGCGATCATACTAGAACATAATAGAATTGCACAGAGTAAATTTTTAAATACAGATTATACATGCTGTAGATAGAATAATGTCAGCAAGTAGTAGAAATCGACTTGAACCAAGAAAGGAATATATCGTACATAAAATCATACATTAAAACTAATAGTGCTTTAAATAAGTACTTTGATTAAAAACAGAATTAGGTCGATAAAATTGAATACAATTTTCCATAAGATATTGTTATTACTGTAAATGCAAATATATGAAATATTAGATTTAGTCTCTTTTGTTAATATTCGATTGAAACTACTACTAAATTAATTATCTATATTAATATTGGTTTTTTTACCTTGTACGTTATTGGTCATTAGAAGTGGAGAAATGTGAGAATTAATAAAGAAATCATTTAAATATTCCAATTAAAGCTATTAATTGATAAGAGTGTTTTCCTCTTGAATTTGCTACTAATAATTACTGCGCAATAATAAACGTTCAGTGACCTAATCAGATGCCAAATTTTGATTCAATTAAAGTGAATAATAGACAAAATTTATTTTTATTTAGATACAAAAACCATTTGTTGGATGTTACCGTAATTGATTAGGGAGTATCTTCTCTAATCATAAATCGAAAATCTGTAACTATTTTCGTATTGATAATCAATTAAAAATGGAATTGCAAATATTGATCGATAACATTATACTTTGTGTTTGCTTCTCCCTGAGAAATAAAGCATTTATCGAAATCACATCAATATTCTGCTGCTACTATTTGGACAATTTATTTATAATTTTTGATAATCATTTAAAATTGACGAGTGCTTAATACTGCTATATAATACACTTTACTAAAGCTTTATGTAAAAGGAGCAATGTATAAATTTAACAGATTTTAGCGATTCTTCACTTGATGCACTCGTTTGTTAACTTTTTCCGAGAATTTAGAAACTATTGATAATTTATTGTAGGCGTGAATTACGCAGCTTCATGTTTATAATGGGTTCCCCTCCATACATGAATTAGCCTATAAATTTATAAATACCGAGAAAAATAACCCTTCATCCGTTACTAATCCGAAGTTACTATGATACTTTGGAAATGGAACTCTTTATGTTGCTCCAGTCTCATAGCTTATTCTTAAGAACATATTGTAGAAAGAAATATATGCGTAATATTTAAATCTTCATCAATATTTTGTCGTTGCTATATTATATCTCGAGGTTGTATTATTCGCGTTAATACAAAAAAAAAGTAAGAAGTTTAGTTCATTAAATATCAGTTAACAAATAATTATTGAACTGATCTCCGATTGGACGTTGCCGTAATTTTGAATCACTTGCCTATTTCTATGATGGCTGATAAATGATCCAGCTTAGATTGAAATGAAAATTTAACCATATCCAGTAGGTCATAACCAGGAGCCAATTGAATAGCCTTCTAATGATGGGAGATATATTTATTGATGACTAGTAGGAGCCAGTCAATGAGTAAAGAGATAGACTAGCTATTATAATTATAATTACTTAGATACTGATTGGAAATTCTCAAAACAGTTAGGCATTTTGAATTAATTACTTTAGATAGATCCAGTTCAGATGTTGGAGATACATTTCGCATATTATACGATTATCAGAAAGTTTGTTGGACAATTTCACAATTGTTGCCTTTACATATATTCCTTTATCCCAGCTGAAAAGTGTACAAAGCATATGTTAAATAATGCTTGAAATTGAAATCATTTAGAGATTCTACTAAGAATTTATTTGATCACGGTAAAAAAGCCAAGTTAAAGAATTAAATCAGATTTCATAGTATTATATCACAAATTGAAGATCGATTAGATAATCTCATACTATTTATTAGCATCGGTACTATTTATTAGTATATTTTTCAATTACTCCAAAAGAAGAAAGAGCTCATTATTTTGTACATTACATCGATAGTTGAGTCAACATTCCTATTAATTTACATTAGCATATTTCATTGATTGATACGAAAGAGCCTGATTGAGAAATAAATCGTGGCTATACTATACCTCTTCATAGAATCTTGAATATTATGAGTAGAGTCAAAACTGGGCCAGCATTTTAAAATTGTATATGAAAGATATTCAATATCTAATTTTTATATACTGCTAGCCAATCTAGTTTAAAATTAGACTGTATTTGACTATTGGAAATCCCTAATAATATTAATTCTCGTAGCTTGCTCATATGCCTGTCTTGGTAACAAACGAATAAAGTTTATTCCAAATTATAATACTGCATATCCGTAAATATACTAGCCAAGCCTACATACTGTGATGTGCAAATAAGATTTCTGAAAACATCAATTGATGTTATACTTAGCATTCACAAATTAGTCATCTAATTCATTCTTGTGAAAAGTTCTATATCATTACATTTTACTAAAATGAAATGAGATTTTTCTCTTATATTAATAAGCTGCAGCATCGTATGCTAACAGAAATAGGTTAATAAATGTGGTATCGCTTTTCGCTTGATTATTCTTTACTTAGTGAAAATTTTGTCAACATCATCATCGAATGTACATGACACGACCAATCTTAAATATAATTAATATTCACACATTGTTTCAGTCATTCAGCTAGCTCTTCAGTTTAGTCTTTAATACTAAGTCAAAGGCATATAAATCGCCAAGATTGCTCAAAACTAGAGACAGCTATGTCCTGAACAGACTTTATTGTCCTGATATGTAGTCTAGAAGAAGATTTGTAGATTTGACCTTGCTGTTATCTTGTCACAGAGTTAGTTTATGACAGCATAATTAAGTTTATTGTTTCTCTTTCATCCTGTTTCTAATTTTACCCTCACGTAGGCGTTATCTACTTTATTTTGATCATTGTTTATTTGGAAAGAAAAAATTTCGTTTTCAAACATATCTTAAAAAATTGTTTTGATGCAATGACAAAGAATGAAAAATATTCGCTCAAATTAGATCTTGTAAGGTCTTTTTAACGCAAATTAATACCAAATGAAATAAGCTTCACCCTTATAATTCGATGAACGCCGCTACTTATGTAAAAAGTGAGCTCATAATCGAATGATTTGATAAGAAAAATATCATTTTATAAGTTTGACCTTGAAGGTAAGTCAAGGTAAGTGAATAATTAATTTAATTATAATCTATAAAGAAATTGTTGTCGAAAAAATTAACAATGTTCAAATGATAAATAAGCGTAGCGACACAAATAGTTGAAACTATAATCGTCATTATCAATAGCTGTATTGTTATGGCAGGAACACGTTATATTTTAATATTAACTATTGCGTTCTAGCTATAATAGAACGTTTCGAATGATTAGATAATTATTTCCTTTATAATAGATAGAATGGAACAATTTGTCCTGTTTTCAATAATTTTATTGGTGTCATAAATAATTTCATAGTATTAATGAGTATTGGAAATGATACTTAATCTTCAATTTTTGGCTTTGTCTTACTAAATATAATAGCGGCTAGATAATTGAAAAAATTATCTAGTGGTAGAATAGACTCTTCTTGAGTTATCAAATTTAATTGGATGTCTTTGCTTTTTAAAGTTTTTAATAATTTATGCGACCATTACACTACATTATCGGTAATTTTGGTTAGAATAATATTACAGGTAGAATATTTGAATTAAATTGATTAGCATAATTAGATCAATTATAGAATATTACTTAAATCTATGCTCACAAAGTTGGAGTGAATTAGATTTGTATAATCTAGAAAAGCAGTAAAATTAATATTGAAGTCCTTGGTAGACATTTCAGTAAATGATATCTTAATATTAAAGCAATAGAAATAAAGTATTTCGTATCCAAGTCAGTTAGAGAGAAAACATTTCATTCAGGAAGTAAAATTTTCACCATGGCCGTCAATTTATTGAATAAGTCTTCGATAAATCAAAGTCTTCTTAGTGATGAAGACCAATTTGGACGTGATTGGCATGTAAAACGTTTTATGCATATACTTTATGGCGTGTTAGCTTCTTTGGCCATTTTAGGTAATTTTATGGTATGTTTCGTTATCGTAACAACAAAAAATGGGAGAATGATGAAATCTGGATTAAATTTGCTAATTTTAAGCATGGCTATGATGGATGCAGCTACAGGAATAATGATGTTTGTTGTCCCTTCATTTGTTGTTCCAGCTGCAGATTACACCTATCCGAGTAATAATATCTCGGGAACAATATTTTGCCGCGTATTTGCTTCGCAATATGCAATTTTTTATTTTGGTTTTGGCTCAGTTTTTACCATTACCGCTATTGCTATCGAAAGGTGGATTGCTGTCGCTAGACCATATTCATACCGAAATATTGTAACTATAAAAAGAACTAAACGATTTTTAGTCGGTCTATGGGTATTCAATACTGTTATATCAATTGATATCCTGCTTCAACGAGATTATGATAGCAATGAGCAGCCTCCATGCAAATGGAATTCTTTCATTCGACATCCACCAGGGCAATATCTGTTCATTGTAATGGAAATTCTACGTTTATTTCTACCGTTTATCATCATTATAGCATGTTATATTGACATAATAAGGAGAATTATTACAGCGATACCTGGATTATCGGTGGCCAAGGCCAATTGGAACCGAGCCTCATCTATGTTGGTAATAGTCAGGAATCCCAGTTCAATCAGAGCTAGACGTAGAGTAACTATCATGGTAGCAATATCAGCTTTAGCTTTTATGATATGTTGGTTACCAAACGAATTCTATTTTACGCTATATGTTCTCAATGTTATACCTTATAATATTGATGTCATTCGATTTACCAAGACACTGATTGTAGTAAGCTCATGCTTGAGTCCTCTAATCTATTCTGCCACTAATGAAGACTATCGGCAAGGTATCTGGACGCTTGTAAGCAGTTGCGAATTTCGAAAATCACCGCGAATAGATACGAAATACCCCCAAAAAAGTATTTTAAATGTAGAAAATAGTAGGAATATTGTAACACAACAGACTCACGAAACTGAAGGAAGCAATTAAGTTTATGGCCCGATGTAATTGAATTATGCATGCAGTTCTTTTAAAAGCAGTGCTGGCGTAAGAATCAAATATAGAATATTGAAAAGAGAGAATCTTATCACATTGGTAGGTGTGAATCTGATCAATGATTGCTTTGCTGGCAAATTATGCAATAATCTAAAATAACTGATCTTTACTGTGCGATAGCACTATTATCCTTTGATAAATGCTTGCATAATAGACTCTCACAAGCACGAAGAAATTACTAATAGAAGTAGAAAGTGCTACTTGTTAATATTTACGGTAATTAAATTACAATGCGAAATTGATGCTTGAAACTGATTTCTGCTACTATTCGGAAAAGCTGGTCTGCTAATGCTATTAATTTTAAAGATTTCTAATGTATAAGTACATAAGGTAGATTACACTTTATATCTTCACATTTTAATTCAATCTCATTAGCCTTTAATTGTTAGTCAACTAATGATGTGAGATTGAAAATTTTGATGTTACTCTCCTGGTACTGGTAGTTTGAATATTTGGCAAATTTTACCAAAATAACATGAGCGATAGAAAGAATTTAGGTTATTACTGAAGTAAGTTAGCTCAGTTTTTGCATTTGGTGACCATCCATTTCTATAACAACGCCTCTTGTTTAAGGTTCTAAATGCTCTTACATGTAAGTCTATAATATCCTACCGAGGGTAAAATATACTTATCAGCTATACGTATATCGATATAGCTTTTGAGTTTTAATGATATTTCCTTGCATTAATTCTATTGGCAGCACTTGGAATTGACCAATGTGAATTATTTGTAATCTTTTCAAGGGCATCCTTCATATGTGATGATCGTATAATAAAACATTCTATACCTTATTCTACGCTATTATCTGGGCAGTCTTAAAAATTGTATTTTAAATATAAAATAATTCTTGTAGAACTATTTAACGTTATTTTACTTTGATTCCTACAGTTCAACGTGATATAACTAAATCTTGAAGGTGAAAAATGACAATAATAGTAAAAAATAGATGCTTGTGTTGATAGGGATTGATTCTGTTTATTTTTACTGCATCCTAGAAGTTCGCAATGTTCTATACAGAATTCATGAATTACAGTCGCTTTGATTTTAAGACGCTCTTTAGAATAAAGTTATCTGATGCAATATTTATAACTACATTAATAAAGGATGTCCTAAATTGATATTTACGAAATTGAAATTGATGCATTTGCGTAAAATCGACTTTATTATTATTCTTGATGGGGTTCATTTGCATAAGGTTCTAAGGTTGTTTTCTCTAAGCGGAAAATTGCTCTTCGGGTAAATCTCAATAAATTGTGGTAGAATTTATGCGGACACTTAACTATGAGATCGGGTAACTTTTATAAATCGCATTTCAGTCTATCTATAGTAATTACAGTAGCATCCGTTGTAGTTTTTGTAATTTCTACTGGATTCTTGATCCCAGTTTTTGAGGGCCAAATTATTCATTACAATTACTAACATATTGAAACAGATTCTAATTCAAAGATAGTATAAAGTTACCGTTTTGATCCACTGGCTTTATCCAAGTATCTATGAGCAAATATATATTTGATTAAATTTATCAAAATTATAGTCTAGTCTTAAAATTCTCATGCTTGTAGATTGATATAAATGGACAAAAAAATTCCATAGCAACTATGGATTTTATACGTTAAAATGCGTTCATGTTTAGCTTTACATGAGTGAAAGAAAATGCACAAATTGAACTTTACAGTAAAAGCTTTCAAGGCTTGATATCGAACCTCTGGCAGATGTAAATTATAATATTAACTAGCATTCCTTATTTCCAGCAATATTTTCAAAAGCAATTATTCGACGTAGAGATATCAAAACTATAAATAGCTGTAACATAATTAAAAAAGATACACACTATACAATGTGTGAATAGCCTGTTTTTGCTAATATTGCTAAATAACTATTACTTCCTCTCAACGGTAAAATTTCGGAAGTTATTTAGAGTAGCGTCTTTATTCTGTCCTTAGATGCTAAAATAAAATTAGATGCTTTTGATGTCTAGTATAGAAAGTACCATTAAAGGTTTAGACTCAATATTTATAATCTGTGTTGTATTTAGAAGGTAAAAGCTGATAAAATTAAAGATGATGTATAGATATATCGAGGGGAATTTACGAGATCAGTCATATTATGAAACGCCTAAGAGTTATCAGGCAGTGTGGCCTTTAAATTATGTATAAGTTATACACCCCTTAGTTACATTGTGGATCTAATAATTAGTTGTATAAGAGTATTGTAGATTGGATATCCCATATATTCCATTCTAAATCAAATACATGAGCTTACTTATTTCGAAGATTGGCAATAGTGGTAGCTAAAATTTTCACAATAGCTGCGTGATCTTTTAACTGTTCTTGAGATCTAAACAAAAAACCTACATCTGTTATTTTGCCTCGAAGGGGTGCTGCCTAATAGAACAGTAATACATTGCCACGAAATAATTTTAGTATCCATGAGTTTAGCCAATTTTTTTGCCTTCTATTGTCGGACAACATATGGCTTTAATGACCTTTAGATTAGTAATAATCGAATGATATTTATGGCTAAAATACCATATATTAAAAAAATTTATTACAAGGTTCAAATTTCTAGAGATTGTAATCTATTTTACGAGTATTTTAATACTATATCACAGAATAATTAGGTTCTATAAATGAAGTTTATTGCTATAGCAACGACTAGAGTATGACTTCTTTCATTAATTAAATTAATTTATAATATAGGAGGGAGTAGTATACCTATGATTTATCATTTTACATCAATTTTCATCATCTAGCGCGATCTACCTCAAATTTTCGTGGTATAATATATTGACTATGAAGAAAATGTGATTTTTTACGTAGATCTTCTTAAATTTCTATAGTTTGTGAAAATTATGCCATGTCATATCGTTTCTAACTTTCTATGATTCTATTTGAATTCTATTTGAATCTCTAAAGTTTTTACCGTTGTGTCATCGTATTTTATTTTACGATTGCATTTCAATACTTCTAGACAAGTAAAAGGTATTTTGAAATATGATTATAAATATATCACCACTCAAAATCTATATGTCGTCTAAATATGTAAATTATCCTAAAATGATGGGAGTCAATATTTGAATGCGATTATACCGTCGGTTTTTCTATTTTTAATTTGATATAAATGATCGAGAAGATTCAGATGATTAAATAATATTTGCGTAATTAGATCCTATTCATTGAGCTATTCGCTTAGACCGAATGATAAAGATTTATCTATTTGTTTAATTAAGATTTAGAATTAATAATCGTTCGTTTCCAATGCTTATTTGTATAATGTGTAAATTGTTTATTAAAATCGCCAGTTTGACACCGCTTAAAATAGTTTACTAGTATTAACAATAAATGAAAAAATGTAACTATACAGGCTAATTGATCAAAAATTCCCGTAAATAATAACCCCGAGTTACCGTTATTACCTCATTTTCTTATGATCACTTTTTTTCAAAGCAATCACTGTCTCCTAACCTTTATACAAGAATCTTTGCGCCCGTACAATAGCATGATATTTAATATTATTAATTAGAGAGATAGTTGGCTATTCTTATGTTATATCATTTCTATTTAAATTTATATATATGCACGGCACGATAGCTCACAAATGATGTCTTGGCTTCACCTTCTCGATAAAGTGATACAATACTTTCATATGATGGAATACCTCATCACAGATTAAGAAGCGACCAAACATAAGTTTCTTTGTAAAGGCGAGCATAAAATATTTTCCCATTTTTTAGCGAAATAAATTATATCTGTTCGCCAATGACGGCAAATTGAACTCGAAAATAGCTTGGATAATATAGCTTGCAAGGTGATAGACGTTTGCCATGATTGACTACATCTTCAGGCTAAAAACTAAGTAAGAATGTTAAGTTTTTCTGCTTGGAATAAGTTAAAGAAAAAAAAAGCTTATTAAAAATGTTAAGGGTAGAGAAGAAGCACTGAAATATATCGAGTTTTGTTTAGCCAGGCTAAATTCCGAAATTTACGATAGTACAGAATATTATTTATTGCAAAGAGATTGGAAAGGGAGAATAAAGGTAAACCACATTAATTAATTAAATATATTGGATACTAATGGTTATTTTATTTGTACAGAAAACAGCTAGAATATCTAGGCCAGTTCTCTAGTAGACGAAGTACTTAATATTACTATCTAGTTAGGTAATTTAACTTTAGACTTTTTAAAGTATCCTTTCTAGTGATAGAAACTGCCGTCATTCAATTGATTAAGGACAATAGTGACAGAAATAAAAATATTGGAAAATGCAAAGGCCGCATAACCATTGGCTTTTTAAAATATCTTTTATAGCTATACATTGCTTCTATTATTCAATTGCGATCTTGATGGAGATGACATTATTGTAATGCATATTAGTATTTTCCGGTTTCAATTATCCGCTGAGAGTATATTATTCAATAAATTCTATGCTGTAAGAGTTTCCTCTTCGAACACTTTATTCGATGTAGTATTTATTTTTTGCCCAAATGAAATGATCGAACGAATTTTCCAGCACAATAAATGACTATGGAAAAGGCAATGTAGCAAAATGAACTGAACACTTGCCTTGGCGCTATCTCACTATAGAGAACCACAATTTTAACAATTCTTAGTGACATAGTTTTATATAGATTAGGAGATACTGTAGTTCATACTGTGCTTTACAAAACTTATGCTGTAATATTTGATTGTGACTAATTTACATTGAATAACATATAAAATCTAGATATTTATGTTATTACGGGTTTTGTAAAATAACGGATTTTCATAATGACGGTAACAGTACTACCTGATTTTATAAGCGCTTTTGATACTTTTTCACAATACCATCATTATTTTAAAGTATAAATCTTATAATTTTGAACATTAAAACGTACTTAAGTAAAAATAGGCCTTAAAATAAGACTTTTATGCTTTTAGAAAATCGTTAGAAAAAG